TACTTCTTGTAGCCGTTGTTGTGTACCTGAAAGTAGTCCATTTGCTTAGTCATCTCAAAGATGCCATACTCTTTCTTGGATGTTTTTTATTGAGATAAGATTTAAGGCGAAGTATTATCTTCGGTAGAATTTTGCTCTTTTGGGTAATTTTATTGACCCCCAAATTTTGTGACATAATGGACATCAGAGGGAATAGAAAAGTACAAATGTTTTCCCCATGACAAAGGTCTGTGGCCTCTTCTATCTTGTAATGTGGCTAAAGTTGATATTTTTCTTCTTCGTTGAACCTAGGATTCTCTATGTTCAAATATTTGAAAAAATTCCCTTTGAGTATCCTAGTGCTACAAACCTCGAATTAGCCTCAGGTAAAGAGAACCTCGATTTGTGTTTCACCTTCTACTTGCAACGATGCCATTACGTGGCATTTATGCTCGTGTGGTGCTCTCACTGCATCCACATTGTTCGGAATATAACATGTAAAAAAAGAGAGATTATGTTCTTAATTGTTGCAAACATAGATATTGCAGGGATTATTTGTTCATAATGTTGATTTTGTCTCAAATTACTAATTACAATAATTTTGCAACGATTTTTTGATAAAATTTAGGATAATTAGCACAATACCCACCCCCCCCCCCCCCCCCAACGTTTAACTATTTTGTGCAATACCCTTCTAACATTTATCTATTTTTTGTAGTACCTTCTAGCATTTCATTTTGCTGCAAGATTCCCCTAAATCAACCAAAATCTCGCAAAATACAGCTTTTTCGTTCTTTTCCTTCATAAAGCCTTGTAAAATAATAAATTTACTCTCCTATTTAAATAAACATAAAAAGAGAAGAGAAAAAATAATTAATTAATTGCAGTCATAGTCCCAGACTTTTTAAAAGTACAAAGGACCCCCAATTACATAATCGAAAGCCTCCTTATATTGGTCAAACGGGACTCGTCGAGAACCAGGCCCAAGGAATGTGGGGACAATCATGCATAGATAAATATTCCAAATCATCAATCACCAGTAAATTAGATCAACACTATTTTCAACGGACCTTATATGGGTGGAGAAACAATGAATTCATAAAAGAATTATGTGCGAGCCACCAAGAAGCATGCACTGTAAAGCTATTGGGTTCGAGGTAATCCTACAATTAAATCTCCTTCAAGTGAGTTTAATGACGAGTTCGGAGTACGAGCAATCATTGCCCGTAACAGTCTCAACCGAATGCTTTTGGACAATGGAAGTTTTATAAATATCCTATTTGGGAGGCATTTGATCAAATGCAATTTACCAACCCTGGACTCCCATGCCGGATCCTCCATATGGTTTTACCGGAGATAATCTCGTCCCACACAATTAAATTATTCAAGCGGTGGAACTAGGGGAAGAGCCTAAGGTATTCAGAGGATATATGGATTTTTTGATCATCGATAACACATTTGCTTATAATGGGATATAGAGGATGCTTGCTTTGAAACAAACTCAGGCAATGACATCAATTCACCATTTATGCATCAAATTTCAAACTCCTACGAGTCCTTATGAGTCCTTGAAGTTGTGTGGATAAAAGTGGTTTGAACATTTATAAATAATTTATAAACATATGCTAAGAATAATCTTGGGTATTAAGTTAAAAATCTGATGGAATCCTAGCTATTAAAGCATGGGTAACAGCACAAAGAATACTATTTTTTTTTTATGAAGATTGGCCTTAAAATGTCCTACGACCCCGTTGAGCTGGTTGAGAGGCTCGTATATGCACTAGAATCATAGGTATAAGTTATAAAAAAAACAAATTAAAACTTCCCAGAAACAAAGAAAAACCACTACCAATAAAACGACATGAGACGAGCTACGACTATTCTACAAAATCCCCAATTTTGAAGGCTTAATCAAACTCTAAGAATCCGTTTGATTGCAAAGGTGGAAAATGGGTGNTCTTAGGGTCCGTTTGATTGCAAGGGTGGAAAATGGGTGGAAAGAAAATGTTTTACAGGGAATTGATTTTCTTAGAAAATGTTTTACTAGGAATTGTAATTAATTGTGTTTGATTTGTATAATTTTCCATGGAAAATGTTGAAAGTTTGGTGTCCGTTTGACTTCGTTTTTTATGAAAATTGTCCATTAAAGTGATAATATTTTCTACCATTGAATTTAGAATTTGTTCCAATTGCCAAAAAAAATAACTATACCGAATATCATTCGTTTGGAATTGTTTTGCATGTAAATTATCAATAAAAGTGAAATTTTTTTTACCATTGTGTCTAAAAATTTTTCCAGTTGTCATAAAAAAAATGGGGAAAATATTTACCCACCAAAACATCAAGAATTTATTTTCCTCAAAAATTTGGAAAGTTAAAAATATTTTCCTGGGAAAATTTTACCTATCAAACACTACAAAAATTGGAAAATAGGGAAAAAAAAATTATTTTTCATGAAAAATGTGTGTTATTAAACGAGCCTAATTTTAGAGAGAATGGAGAAGTGTAGAAAGAATGTAAGAGAGTACTGAGTAGAGAGATGAACCATCATTGTGGGAACCGAATGACACACCAAATGGGGTCTACATCCGGCATCTAGATGGCCTGGATTGTGATTAGATCAATCCAACGGTCACAAAGACTCCTTGAAGTAGGAAAATGATTGTCCATAGCCAATGCATTAATTACCATTCTATTTCCTTAACAAGTTGAGATCTGATGTTCAATTTTTGTTATCTAATTTACTTTTCATCAATTAATTATTGACATATCATTTTACATTAAAATGTTACATATTTTTAGGCATAAGGAATAATTAGAGAAAAGTTGGACATATTAATTTAAAATGATATGCCTATAATTAATTAAGTGAACAGTAAATTAGACAATAAAAAATGGAAAGCAGATCTTAATTCCTACTTAACTAATAATCAAAGTGCTGTCTAGAAATTTGGGGATTGTTTGGGTGGAATCATTTTTCTGAAAATTAGTAAGAGATTAAGTTAACAATCTCTAATTGTTAAATATTTACTAGTTCTGTTTCAAGAACTATATAAAACCTAATAAATAAATATCATATTGAGAGCTTGAAGAGTTTGTTTAACAAACCTTCACTCTTCATACAATTAGATATAAAATTATTTATTTTTGAGTCGAGATTGCATTTTATGTATTTATATTAAGATGTGTTAATGATAGAATCTCATATTGAATAAAAATATAAGCATAAATCAATTTATAAAGGATTGTGTTACTCGTCTTAATAAAATTGACCTTTTAAGATGGAATTTCAATTCTTAACATGGTATCAGAGCCCATTAAATTCTAACGAACAATTCGATCAGGTTAAAACTCCAAAAGTGAGTATACGAATTTCAAGATTGGTCTATTCAAACGAGCCACCATCTTGCGGGGGCATGTTAAGGGATAGAATCTCACATCGAATAAAAATGTAAATATAAATCAATTTATAAAGGATTGGTTACTCATCTTAATAAGGTTGACCTTTTAAGATGGAATTCCAATTCTTAACAAGATATTGTTTGATCCTCACCGTCTAAAAACTTTTTTTTTTTTCAAATTCATTTTCAATCATATTCTCACAATTAAATATTTCGCACGTAAATCCAATTTTTCCCTACTTTTTAACTATACATTCTCCAAAAGTTTACGATTACAAAACTCACCTAATT